GGCCAAGCCCACCCGAGCAGGGTTGCCCCCCCTCCCCATTTCAAGGCAGCGGTGGATCCAGACACGGGAGGGGGCGTGCTGAGCTCAGCACGGCTGCCACTCACGGGGAAGACATCGGGATCATCGTTGCACATCTGCAGGAACCGCTCCGGGCGGGCGGAGGAGTGCTCGGGGCCCTGCGGGGAGCAAGCAGGGGGTGGCAGTGAGCAGGGGTGGCAGTGAGCAGGGGGGGCAAGGCTGGTGCAAGAGGCTGATGCCCCACCCTGCCAGCAGTGCTGCCTGCTGCTGCTGCCCTCAGCTCTGCTGCTGGGCAACAGGCACCCCTGGGTGCCCACAAGCTGGGGGACCCCTTACCATGCCCTCCATGCCGTGGGGAAGCAGCAGGACGATGCCGTTCTGTCTGACCCACTTGGCCTGCCCAGGACAGATGAACTGGTCGATTATGCACTGAGCTGTGTTGTGGAAGTCCCCAAACTGGGCTTCCCAAAGCACCAGGGCGTTAGGGCTGGCCATGGCAAAGCCCAGCTCAAAGCCTGAGGGATGGGAGAGAAGTGAGGGGGTTATAGTCCCAGAGTTGCCTCGCCCCCGGGCGGCAAGTGTGGAGCTGCTCACTCACCGAGGACACCATACTCCGACAGGGAGCTGTTGCAGACAGTGTAAGGAGCCTGGTTGGGCCAGAGGTGGTTCATGGGGATACAGGTCCTCTTGTCCACATTCTGATCATGCAGGACGTGGTGGCGATGGCTGGAAGAGGGGAAGGGTTACTCTACTGTCACATTTCACAGAATCCCGGAAGTGTTCAGGTTGGAAAAGCCCCTCAGGATCATCAAGTCCAACCCTCGGCCCGACTCTACAAAGTTCTCCCCTCCCCACATCCCTCCACAGCTCATCCCAACAGCCCTTAAACACACCCAGGGATAGGGTCTCCCCCCTCCCCGGGCAGCCTGTTCCACTCTTGGACCACTCTTTCTGGGAAACATTTTCTCCTGCTGCCCAGCCTGACCCTCCCCTGGGGCAGTTTCCAGCCGTTCCCTCTTGTCCTGTCCCTGATCCCCTGGGAGCAGAGCCCAGCCCCAGCCTCTCTGCAATGTCCTCTCAGGAGCTGCAGAGAGGGATGAGGGCTCCCCTCAGCCTCCTCCTCCTCACACTGAACACCCCCAGCTCCTTCACTGGCTCCTCAATTTCAGATCCCTCCTGGAAAGGCCTCCAGCAGCACAGCTTTACCTGAACGTGCCCCTCTCGACGTCCTGGCCGCTGAGGCGGATGTGGATGCCCTCTTTGAGCAGGGAGCCAAACGCCATGTACTCTGCCAGGGCCCAGTCCACCGTCCGGTTCTTCACCATCTCCCCACGGGTTTTCAGAATACGGCTCAAACCTGCCGGGACAGAAGATGGTTCATAGACCTGTGACACCGTAGGAGGCTCCAGTGACACTGTGTTTGTTCCACAACCTGCTCATGGACAGACAGACCGCAAATGCCCAGGGCAGGGAAATGGATCCACCTCTGCCAGGGGGATGAACCAGGGATGAGGAATCAGCGTGCAGGGAAGGATCAGCTCCAAAGACGAGCTACTCCTCAGTTCACTGCCCTTAACCACAGCTCCCTTGTGAACTAATTCTTGTAGACTCACAGAAGGGTTAGGATTGGAAGAACTGTCAAAGGCCACTTAGGGCCATGAGCAGGGACATCTTGCACTAGATCAGGTTGCTCAAATGAACACTTCCAATGATGAGGCATCCTCAGCTTCTCTGGAAAACGTGTTCCAGTGTCTCATCACCCTCACTGTAAAACATTTCTTCCTTATGTCCAATCTAAATCTACCCTCTTCCACTTTAAAACCATTGCTCTTTGTCCTGTCTTTCTCATAAGCCCCCTTTATATAGTGAAAGGCCACCCTAAGGTCTCCCTCCAGGCTGAGCACCCCCACCTCTCTCAGCCTTTCTCCACAGCAGAGGTGTTCCAGCCCTCTGATCATTTCCATGAACCCACTCCAACAGGTCCACGTCCTCCTTTACTGGGGGCCTCAGAGCTAGATGCAGTGCTCCAGGTGGGGTCTCAGGGGAGTGGAGCAGAGGAGAAGAATCCCTTCCCTCAACCTGCTGGCCACACATATTGGAGCCCTGTAGCAGGTCCCTTCCTTCTAGGTCACATTCCAGCCCAATCCCACATCTCTGGAATAGTTTCCACAAGCTCCTACCTCCATGGATAGTGAAATCCTCCACCGGCACCGAGCTGGCCACTTGACCAATGTGAGTCAAGTCCTCCTCGTTCAGACCAGTGGAAGGGCAGGTCATGCTCCGGGGCTGGCCGTCCAGAGTGAAGAAACCTGCCGGAGGAGGAGCAGTCTGCTGGGGAAACCGTGCCCAGCTCCATGGGATGAGCTCAGCTCACAGACACCCTCAAGCAACAGTGGGGATGCCAGGAATGGAGAGCACTACCCTGCCTCCCCCAGCCATTTACTAGAAAATAGCTGCCACAGCTCTAGAGAAACCAGGTTTTCTGCTAGGGACCTCCAAAACGTTGTGAGTGACTTACCAGGCCAGGGTGAGTCCAGCCAGTGCTTGATGTGCAAGATCTTCTCATCCTTGGACCTTGCATGGGCCTCCTCGCAGATCTTATCATACTTGGCAATTTCCTCCTGAGAGGCAGAAAATCATTAACGAGGGGTCTCCAAACAAGGGTGCCAACCCTGGGGGCCTCAGCATGAGCTTGCAAGGGTGCTGGAAGGAACAGCTGGTCCCCAGAGCAGGGGAGGTCCAGGGCTGCACAGCTCAGCCTCAGAGAGCAGAGCTGCTGCTGAAAGCACCTGTCCCACCAGGGACAGCCCTGACAACTCGCATCCAACCCTAAAGATGCTGCAAAGCGGTACCAAGGCAAGGAGGAGCCAGCAGAGCTGCTGCAGTGCTTGGTGCCAGGGCAGCAGAACCAGGGTGGGGAACCTGCCCCAGTCACCCCCAGGGCACCACGAGCCTGAGTGCCACAGACCCCAGCTCTCCCACAGGTCCCAGCCACGCTGTGGTGGCCCAGTGTGGCCTGTGCAGCACTGATCACGGGGCAATTCTTGAACTAGATGTTCCTGTACTGCTCAGAGCTGGCACAGCTCAAGGACAAATCTCAGCGCCTAATCCCATCACTGCCAGGTCTGTAGCGCTTGCCCAACCCTTGCACAGCTTTGCCACCTTCAGGTGACGAACACGAGCAGAAACGGGCCCCATCACATCATTCACCCCAGGTCTGAGCCAAACAAACAATTCTCCTGGGACATGCTGCCTGTAGTTTTCCTCCCAGACCCCGTGGGACAGTACCTCATACTCCGGTTGATTCACCACCCCCTGGGAAATCAGCAGCTCTGCATATTTCTGCAGCACTGGCTTCTGTTTCCGGATCTGTTTGTACATCAGGGGCTGCGTGAACATGGGCTCGTCCATCTCATTGTGACCGTTGCGCCTGTAACAAACCTGCGGGGAAGGGGAAGAGCCCTTGAAAGCAGCTGCCTGCAACCTGCAGCTCTGAAAGCAGTGGGAGGTACCTGGGTCTCTGTGCTAGGAAGAGTCTGAAACAGCCCAGGAGGGACTCGAGCGTGTGCTCCCAATGTGGGAGGCGAAGGCAGGCTCCATACAGAGACAGCACTGTCTCTCCAAGTGCCACTACAGCTTTACACCACCTCCTCCCCTCCTCAAATCAAAAGGGCCAGACAAGCCCTGAGGAGAGACCTTAGCTTTCAGAAAATACACCCCAAGAGGTACTGGTGAGCACCCACAGCAGAGCCACAGCTTCAGGTACAGCCTCATGCCACATTACTTACCAAATCCACCACCACGTCCTTATGGAAGGTGCTTCGCCACTCCGCTGCCACGTTGCACACGTAGACAACAGCCTCAGGGTCGTCTGCATTGACGTGGAAAATGGGCGCGTTCACCACGCGAGCAACATCAGTCGGGTATGGGGAGGAACGGGCCATCCGGGGGTCTGTTGTGAAGCCGATCTGAGAGGGACCAGGACCAGCACAGAGGTAAGGATTTGGAAAACAGCTCTGCTAGGCAGGTCCTTCTTTAGATACTGATGTTAAAGCTGGCTCGGCGTGGGGCAGCTGCATTTTACTGGCTCAGGAAAGCAGCAGGAGAGCACGCAGGTGGCTCAGCTGCTGTGGCTGAGCTGGGGGTTCCCCCACAGCTGCACTGCTCACTCTTAGCACAACCTGCCCATCTCCTGCCTCCTGGACGCCACAGCCTGTCCCAGTCCCTGAGGCCAGGCCATCATCCCAGCACACCCGTGGGGATGGGCTGGTCCCAGTGGAATGTCTCTGGTTTACACAGGGGCAAAACGGAGCAGCCCTGCATGATCTTGCATGCCGAGTATTGCATCACACCAAGTCTGCGCCAGGCTGCACTCAAAAGCTGCTGTGGTTGAGCAGCCAGGTATGAAGTACCCTCTGCTGACCCCAGGATTATGGCTGCTGCTAGGGAACACTGGCTGGGAAACAGCTACTGCCTGCTGCCAACTGCCATCCAGACCTGAGCCTGCAGTGGCAGTTCTGTGAGGAACCCCACAGATGCAGGGGATTTGGTCCTCACCTGGTTGTTCACCACAACGTGGACGGTGCCGTGGGTGGTGTAGGAGGGCAGGTCGCTCAGGTGGAACGTCTCATACACGATGCCCTGCCCAGCAAAAGCGGCGTCTCCGTGCAGGAGGATGGACATTACCTGGGAGAGGCGAAGCCACGGCAGTCAGGGGGGCTCTGCGGGGATGGCAGGCACCAGGAAGGGGCCCAGGTCTCAGACCTGTGAGCTTTTGGCATCCCAGAAGAACACAGAGTAGCTTGTCAATGCATCTGATGTTTTCTCGGGGGTTGGAGCAGAGCCAGCTGTGGTTGGAACCACCACTGGGTAGAAGGCCGTGGCCACCAGCTCTGCCCCTGAGCCAAGGCAGCACGCTCGGGGTGCCTTGGTCAGGCCCTGGGGTGGCACTTGGTGCACAGCGGCCGGGAGGTGAGTCCCATTTCCAAACACATGTATCTCAAAGCAAAGCCTTTTTCTAACTGGGGGAAGATGAGAAAAATGACCCTTTCCCCCGTGCTTTCACCCCAGAAGACAGAGGAGCCGGGCCAGGAGCTCACTCCAGCTTCAGTGATGTTCTTCTCCTGTCATAGCCAGGGATGGCTGAGGCCACTGCCTGTCAGACGAGGACAGAGTTTATCTATTTATATCCAGCCCCTGGAGTGTAGGAGGAAGGGAAGCACTTCTGATCTCACCCTTCCACTTCTTGGTGTTGGAGACAGGTCTGTGATGAATCAGACCGCAAATAAACCCCCCCCGCAGCCCATTCCCCACCTGCTCTCCCACCCGGGTGAGGAGAGCTGCCTCCTGCTGCCAGCTCCAGCTTTCCAGCCCCAGGAATGGTTCTCCCTGGTCACGCTGAAATCCTTCAGCTTGCGGCTCCTCCTGCAGAGCCCCCCAAGCTGTGACGCTCAGGTTGTCTTTTGGGAGCACCCCTCATTTCCTTGCTTTCCGACCAGAGCTTGGGGCACTTGCTGCTCCCCGCAGCCCAGCTAAGCCATATGTTCAGAGATGGAGGAACCAGCAATGGGAGCCTGAGGAGGATGAGCCCCTACGAAATCCATCCCCAAAGACAGATGGGGGAACAAAGTCAGGGTAAGGGCAGAGTGAGGGTAGGGGAAGGGGCACAACAAACAAAAAACAGTTGGGTTTCTTCACTTTCACAGAATCCCAGAATCCTCTGGGTTGGAAAAGCCCCTGCAGCTCCTCCAGCCCAACCATGACCCTCCCCCTGACCGTTCCCAACTCCCCCAGATCCCTCAGCACTGGCTCAGCCCGACTCTTCAACCCCTCCAGGGATCCCGGGGACTCCCCCCTGCCCTGGGCAGCCCATTCCAACACCCAACAGCCCCTTCTGCACAGAAATCCTTCCTCAGAGCCAGCCTGACCCTGCCCTGGGCAGCTTGAGGCCATTCCCTCGGGGCCTGGCGCTGGCTCCTTGGCTCCAGAGACTCATCCCCCCTCTCTGCCCCCTTCTGGCAGGGAGTTGCCGAGGGCCAGGAGGTCTCCCCTCAGCCTCCTCTTCTCCAGACTGAACCCCCCCAGTTCCCCCAGCCGCTCCCCAGCAGACCTGTGCTCCAGACCCTGCCCCAGCTCCGTCGCCCTTCTCTGGCCACGCTCGAGTCATTCAATGGCCTTTTTGGGGTGAGGGGCCCAGAACTGAACCCACTCCCCAAGGGGTGGCCTCCCCAGTGCCGAGCCCAGGGCTCAGATCCCTTCCCTGTCCCTGCTGGCCACACTAGTGCTGACGTAAGCCAGGATGCCACTGGCCTTGGCCACCTGGGCACACTGCTGGCTCATATTCAGCCAGCTGTCAATCAGCCCCCCCAGGTCCCTCTCTGACTGGCAGCTCTCCAGCCACTCCTCCCCAGGCCTGTAGCCCTGCTGGGGGTTGTTGTGGCCCAAGGGCAGCCCCCGGCATTTGCCCTTAGTGAAACTCCCCCAGCTGGCCTCAGCCCATCGCTCTAGCCTGGCCAGGTCTCTCTGCAGAGCCTCCCTACCCTCGAGCAGATCAACACTCCCACCCAACTTGGTGTTGTCTGAAAATTGACTGAGGGGGCACTCGATCCCCTTGTCCAGATCATCAATAAAGATGTTAAACAGGACTGGCCCCAATTAAATAAGAGTGCCCCCCCTGCCATCAACCTGCCTCCCACCAAACCCTGTCCATCCCAGGCCACTTCACTGTGGGCGTCTCAGCATCACTCACCTTCTTCCCTTCCGTGTCCCCGCAGTAAAACTGCTCCGCTTTAGTCTTGCCCTGAACAACAGGATCAGCTGCCTCCAAGTGGGAAGGATTTGCCACCAAGGAAAGGGTGATGTTCCTGTCGGTGACGCGGTTAATCCGCCGGTGGTACATTCCCAGGTGGTACTTCACATCCCCGGAGCCCTGGCGGAGGGGACAGGAGAGTCACCCCCGGGAACGGGGGGCATGGAAGGAGACCTGAGGCAGGGCAGTGCTGACCCCAGGGGCTGGAAAAAGGGGGCGTTTTGTGGAGGCACTGGCAGAAAGCAGCAGGCCCTCACTTTAGGAGTGACCTGGCACGCAGCAAAGCCAAAGTAGCCTGTTCCAGGTGCCAAACCACCAGCAAGCCTCAGACACGCATCAGCCCCATCTATGATTGGAGGGGAAGGGGAAGAAGCAAATGTGGGTTTGGGGAACACACCAGAAAACAGCTGACACTCACTCCAGCTGTGCCCACGGCAGCAGCATAGCCACCCCTGGCACCGCTCGCGAGACGCTGCTGTTCCCAGTCAGGGCACCTCGATGCCCCAGGATGCTGCTTTCCCCGCCTCAAAACCTCACCTGAAGGGCACAGCAGGATAAAACCAGCCCAGCCTTCCAAAAGCCAAATCACCCTGGTTTATGATGCTGGAAGCTCCGGAGCATGAGAGCATCCCAGAGGCAGAGCCTGCAGCAAAGTGATTCAGCCTCAGGGCTTTTGGAGCTGCTTTAAGGCCCCGGTGGGGACCAGGGGCTGCTGCGAGGGAACAGGCCAACCTCTGCGCCGGGCCCCTTCCCCTCACTTCACTGCTCACCCCAAGAGCATCGCTGACTGCCCAAAACCTGCACTGAAGACACCAGCAGCGACCAGGGCACAGGTCACCGCAGCACAGGCAAGAACAGACCAGCACCGGCACCAACACGAAAGCTTCAGTCACACGGGTGCTCGTGCAACGTGGAAATCCTTGTGACACTGACGCCACTGAGCGACACCCCAAGCGGTGGCACAATCCAGCTCACGCTGCAAGGCCACGGCCTTCAGTGACCGCACAGGGACAGGGGACAGCAACCTGCTACAGGCAGAGGAAGAGACTCACCTCATCAGCAGCCTCCAGCTTGGAGTCAAACTGGCAGAAGATCTGCTCCAGCTCTTTCCTGATGACATTGGCGAGAACATTCAGGCGTCCCCTACAAAAGCAAGACTGTTGTGGGCAACCAGCAGCACCAGGCCAGCATCAAGTGCTGACGGTGACCTGCCATCCCCTCTGTCACGAAGAGGTAGTGCAACAACCCCACACCTCCTTGTGACAGCAGATCACCAGGCGAGTGAGCTCCTGAGGAGACTTCAGACCCCCATCCCAACAGCTGCCCTGGCATGGGCAGGCCAGATCCTGCTCTGGGATTCCAGCTCTGCCACTTGAGTCACCACCCCTCTCCAGGTGAATTTACAAATGAGATGAAGATGAAAGCACTGCAATGAGCAGAGAGCAGCCAAAGCTTGAGCTCTCCAGCTAAGGTTCACCACCAACCAAGACCAGTTAGGTGATGGCAGCAACTGGTGTGCCCTCCAGTACCACACCCCAGCAGCATCCCTCTCCTCCACGCCCCAAGCACTGCCCTGGAGAGAGGCAAGGTTACCTGTGGGGCATCCCCATGATAACATAATCCACTCCCTTCTCACTCGACTTATCAATAATGGTCTTTAAGGCAGGGATCAGCACTTCACAGCCCTCCAGACCAAAACGCTTCTCTGAAGACCATTTCCGATGGAGGAACTCCTCAAACCTGGAAGGCAAAGAGAGAGAGGGATCAGTGCCAGGGCTACAGCTGAGGGCAGAAACCAGAGGAAGGATGAGGACTGCACCAAGGGAGCCAGAGCACCAAGTGATGCTTAAACAGGCATCACGCAGCAGCCCGAAAGCCTTCCCGGCCATCCCAGTCCACACCTGCGGAGCCCAGCTGGCTGCTCCCCCACCCCAACACTGTGTTGCATTTAAACCTTATTTTTAGACTTTTTCTTTCAGGATCATCCATGTTTTTAGGCTCTTTGCCAGCACCCGAGCCTGCCAGCCCAGCAGCTCACTGGCGTCACCCTGCTGATTCAGCCAACCATGACAGATGACGTCAAGATGTGACTCAAGTGGCGACCACGTCGCTCTGGCTGTGAGCAAACCACCCCTGGCAGCAAGGAGAGATAAGGAGAAGGTGAAGAACCACCCAGGGTACCTGGTAGAGCGGACCAGCCTGGCCAGCAGCGTACGTTTCTCTTCATTGGTGAACTGCATGATGCCAGGGGTCTCAAACTTCTGCCGGATCCACTGGCACTGCTCCAAGTCGTTGATGAACATGAACTCCACCCCGATGTGCTGGCAGTACGCCATCTGCCCCAAAGGGACAGGAAGGGCCATGAAACAAGAGCCTTCAGCACCTCTTCACCCCCAGTAAAGAAGACAGGCATCGTACTGGTACCACCATGCCAGGGGTTCTTTCATTCCCCTCTAACCTTTCAGCAGGACAAAGAGCCCTCCTGCACTGGCAGAGACAAACCCTCCTGCCTGGCAGCTGCGCTGCCCTGCCTGAACGTGGGCAAGGACTGCCCGTGCTGGCAGTCCGGGGACACGCGTGAGCAGCGTCCAGCGGCCAGTCCTCTCTCAGCCCTGTTTTGGGACCCCTGGTTTGAGCTGTCTTCCCAGAAAAGGGGACACTGCAGGGGATGTCCTTGGATGTTTCTGGGCAGCTTGGACCCTGCACATGACCCAGCATCAAAATGTTTAATTCCCTTTCCCTGAGGGCCCAGGGGGGAGCCCTTTGCACCCACCTCAGAGGCGAGATTTTCCCTCTTGGTGGCATCAGCTGTGACCAGATCCACAACCTCACTTCACATTGTGGGAAGAGAATCAGCAAAACAACCTCCCTCAGCAAATAAGGAGCCTGCTCTTGCAGCTTATCTAAGACACTGACACAGCTTTGCTTCTCCCCAAGGTAAACTTGTCTCAGCAGAGACCTTCTGAGCAAGCCTGCAGCCTCCCTGAGAGCCATCTGTGCTCTGAGACCAGGCAGAGCAGGGCATGAAATTTGGCAAGAAAGGGGAACCAGCTGCATGAGCTGGAAGTCCCAGCCCCGGGTTGGTGCTGCTCCTGCACAGAGACCCTCCAAGGGGCCACCACACAAGGCAGCAGCACTACTGCAGTGCCTGGAGGTGAGCATCACCTGCCTCCAGCCTGCTCCTGGGCTCTCCCAGCACCGTTTGCTGCTTTAAACTGGAAAACACAGCCAGAAAAAGTTTCCAAAACTGCAATATTTACTCGTCTGGGATTTGCTCTGCCTTGGGTAGACCCAATGCATTGCCCCAGTGCAGCATGAAGCTGAAGGCAAACAGAGATGAGCAGGTAACACACTGCTACGAGTGGGGCAAGTGCTGAGGAGCAGCTCCCAACCTGGAAAGCTTAAAATCTTCAGGCTGGCCCAGGCTGCAGGCAGCAGCGGCCCAAGACCTTCAAAAAGCAACTGCTCTGCCACTGACCCAGCCTGCAAACAGGCCTCCCTGCCCTCCTCACCTCCAGCCGACGGATGATTTCCCGGAGTGGAAGAGCCGATTCATTTCCACCAATGAAAGTTGTTGTGGGCAAGTGGAAGACCTTGTCGAGGTCAGATTCATCCAGCCCGTAAAAGCCTGCAGGATTTTTCATGGGTGGGACAAGCGAAAGCAAGAGAGAAGGAAGGAAGGGGGATGGGGGGACACCGTCACGAAAAAAAAAAAAAAAAAAAAAAAGCAGCACAAAACCAAAAATAAGCATGAAGGAGGTTTATATGGATAAAAACCAAGCCATAATTAAACAAAAAGACATTAAGCACAGAACAACAAGGTTATTACAAAAGGTAATGCAGGAAACAGAACACAAAGCAATACATATACACATGTAAATTGGCAATTAAAATCCAGGGTGAGAGTCGGGAAGTTTGTAGCCCAAAGAACGCAAAAAATACACCACAAATTATAACGAAAGGGAGAGGAAAGAAAGAGGAATTGAAAAGCACCGAGCACAACAGAGGTGACACCACATGGTGGGAATTAAAAATTAAGAGTCAATGTGGAGAAGGAAACAGTTATAACAGACAAACCCCAAAGAGGGAGAGAAAGAGAAGCAAGAGAAAACAGCATCAGGGCTCTGCAATGGACTCTCCTGAATAGCTCAACCCGGAGCAGGGCAGCCAGCCAGGCCCTCAGGGGTTTTGCTGCCCAGATACCCTCTTACCCTAATTAACAGCCTTTTAATTAGGGGTTTAGCCTAGCTCTGCTCAGCAAACCCCCTCCTTTTTGGTGCTAGCACCTTGTGGTTCATAGGCAGCTCCTACCTGCAGCACGTGGGGCTGTGGGGAGCTGAGCTGTGCCTGGAGAAGGTGCCGAGCAGGGCTCAGAGCCAACCGTCGGGTTTAATTGCTGCAGATGAGCCCTGCTGCCACCATCTGCTGCTGTCACAGCATGGCAAGGTCCCTGCCAGGGCCCGCAGTAGCTCCACAGTACCTCAAAGCCATCAGAGGTGCCTCAGGGCCTGCTGAAGTTCATGGTTTTCTTTGGGGAAACTGAGGCACAGAGGAGGAAGGACAATTAATTTGCTGGACTGACACAGCAAGGCAGAAGCAGAGCTGGGGAGGGGGGGGACTGGGGAGTCCCAAGACCCTTCTGAAGCAGGAGCTTGGCCGGAAAGAGGGTGGAGTGAAGCTGCCCACTGCCAGCCCAGAGTCCCAGCATCTTCCCTGTTCACCCCTCCCAAACTCCCAACAGGGCTAGGTTTCACAGTGCTTTCTAACCCAGGGCAGGAGCCACAGAAGAGGTAGAGTTACCACCACCCCTTCCAGCTCCCTCCAAACCAGCCCAACGCCCCTGCTGGGGTTTCTTCTAGGAAGGGTTCAGGGCATGCCACCCCCCTAAACGCTGCAGAACAGCGTAACCCACCTTCCTCCAGGCAAAGGGAGGCAAAAATAGCCCCCTCTCCAGAGCTGGCACTCCTTGAACTTAATCTTAAGAGTCTAAGCCTTGCTCTCTGGTCAGGAATGGAAGACAAGCTGACAACGGGGCTGGCCACAACTCCTCCCTGTGCAACTTCCAAGGATGGTGCTTGCCAGAGGCTGGGAGCACCCAAGAGCAGGCTCAGTTTTCCTGGGTGCCACCATCATTCATCCTCTCCTCTACCCACATCACCCTCCTGGTTGCCACTAGTCCCAAGAAGGAATTAAGCTAGACCCAGCAGAGTGCCAGGGCCAGGCCTGGGGGCACTGAACCACAGCTGGAAGGAGCTGAGGGTTTGGCCTCCGTGTCTCCAGGACTTCTCTGTAGTTCCTATCCAAACAGAAGTCCTGGAGAGAGGCAGCATTAGTACACAGTATCCCAGATAAACTGCCGGCTGGAGGTTTCAGGGAAGCCTTGTTAATCTGCTGCAGCTCCCAGCCCCGTGGCCCAGGGCTTCAGCTGTCTCTGCCACACTGGTTTGAAGACAGGCACACTTCCGGGGTATCAGATTTTACAAGGAGTTTTCAGGGCTCTAAGCATTTCTGCTTCTGCTTTGCTGCAGCCTGTCAGCTTTTTTTGACAGTGCTCAGTATTTATAGGCAGCAATACCATCAGATAGGGAGGAAGGCTAAGGATGAGCTGCCAAATTTTCACCGCAACAAAACCAAGGGAGAGTCAGGAAAACACAGCTTGGATTTTTAGGAGACTCAAACCCATCGGGGAGATTGAGGCCTCGTAAAATTAATTTTCACAACAAAACGTGTACTCTAGCAAGCTAGGCATGCAAACAAACAGTATGGAAAAGGCCAGCAAAGCTCTAAATTGGGATCACTACAGGTGAAGCATCACTAACCAAGCGCCTACATTGAGACTTCTAGTGGGACAAATTAAAAATAAACATGTTACAAAACTCAAGAGTGGTGTGAGATGGGAGGGGACAGCTTTACCGGCTTGGTTCATGCCCAGAATAACCTATTCAAAGAGAGTCCTGCACTCCAGAGGGTTAAAGGCTCATTAATTGCATACCTCCTACTGTTAACACTCTCAGCCGCTCCTTGAACACTGCGAGATCTGGGGTGGGCAGGGAGGAGGGTGCAGAAAGGGAGAAGATAGAGAGACGCAGTCAAAGTTAGTAAAAAAACCCCTCTGGAACCGTGAAAACTAGTCATGGAAAGCACAAGTCAAAAAAATACAGTATTTAAAATACAGTCAAAAAATATCAGAGGCAAAAGGGTTGGAATGGAGGATGACTACGCACTAGGCGCAAAAGAAATCCCAGTGGAAAGTCTGGTGAGAGGAGGGAGGAGCAGGGAGGGAGTGGAGGACATCAGACACTGGGGAGCAGTTGAGCTGCATGGTTTGAGATCTCCTCTCACGGGCACACCTCATGGGAGACGGAGACTTCCCGGCACAGCATCTTCACCTGCTATGACCAAAAGGCATCTTCCCACCGAGCGGCATCAAGGGGAGCATTATCCTCTGCAGAGCAGGGAGCTGCCTCCCACATCTGCTCCCGGAGGGTTTTGCTCTACTCGTTGCTACCCGGAGGATTTCAAGGTCACTCCCAAGGAGGTACTGCTGCTACACACAGGCAGAAGGGGGATCAGGGTGTTAACGAGCAGGCTGTTAATGAGGAAGACCAACGGTGAGGCAGGCACAGGCAGGCGGGAATGCTGGGACGCCATGCCAGATGCAGGCAGGGCTGCCCGAGCAGCAGGCAGCGTGTGTCACCAGAGCCAAGGCTAGATGACCTGAGTGCCTCAATCTCACCTGGGTTACAAGAAAGGCTTTGGAAACACTTCTTCTAGTCAGCGGGGAACAATCATACGTTTAAGTGAGACATTTGGTTAGCAAGACCTCAAACTGGGGGAAGGGGAGGGGGCAGCACTCCCAGCCCACCTCCCTGCAGGGGCTCGCCCTGCTCTTCCCGAGCAGAGAACGATTTCCATCAATTCCCCTGAGCAGCAGCTGCCTTCCGCGGAAAGACATGGACAGACGGACACTCGTTTGGACACACCACTGGGATTTCAGCACACTAATGTATTATTTCCTTGGACAGGTCACATCAAGTCCCTGTGGTCATCTTTGTCCTTGTTTTACACCACTTACCATGCCAGATCAGCTGCAGTAGAAGATCAGGAAGATATTAGTTTTTTTAAAAGAAAAGACAAGAGAAAGACGAATTTGGAGGCTCCAGCCCCACCACCCATCAGACCAAGTACCCCCAGGCAGGCTTTCTCCCCCTTACATTTTCTGCAAAACTCACACTACTTAACCCAAAGAGAGCTTTCAAAACAGACACAAACCAGTTGCTAAACAAAAGGCAATTGAGAAGAAAGATCCATTTCTGAGATTAACCATGCAACTCCTTTGAATTACAGCACTGCCCAGCCACAGTTTAAGATGTTGGCAGCAGAGCTCACACCACAAAGGCTGACTTTTAAGGATTTTACTGCTCAGAAAGAGGAAACAATATTGTTTCCAAGTTTCAAAACCACTCCTGTTATTAACTGCTCTGTCAAGTGTTAAGAAATACTCTCTCAAAGCAAAAAAAGCCAGCAGGATCTGCTTAGAAATTGGCTTTCTCTGCCACAAGCAAGCAACATTCGATCTTGGGCTCAGCTAGAACTCTGCCCACGCTCTGCACCAGCGCTGCTCTCCTCTCCTCTTGCTGAGCCTTGTTTGCAAGCTATGTTCACCAAGTTGTATTTTAGGATTGACCAGATGAGGTTTTCCAGGATAAGGATACCAGAGCAAAGTCTATTCAGTATATATAATACTTACAGCAAGATATAAAGCCTCCTTCCATTAGACACAGCCATCTGAGACTGGGGTCCTACCATGGAACACAACCCCAGCATGAGCTCGGGGCTGATACCAACGTAGCTTGTTCACAGGACTCATTATTTCCTACAAATTCATGGGTTCCTGGTAATTAAATCAACGCCAGGAACCACAATGAGAGATATCTTAGTATGAAAGCCATGAAGAAACAGAAATGAAAGTTATCGCCTGGATCAGACACGGAGATCACAGGCTGAGATTCTCTTCCAGCTGATGCCTACAGACATGCTTGAACACTTTCCGCCATGGCGAGCCAGGCTGGGTCACGCGGCTGGGCTCCTGACTGCTCACCCTGAGGGAGCAGGAAAAATGGAGCTTATGCTGCTTTATCCAGGTTCTGTTACAGCTGTGACAATGCTGTCAGCCCAGCTCTGCAGCTGGGGCTCCAAGGGAGGACCTGTTCTTGGATCGCTTTGGGCTCGTCTTCCTCTGAAGCAAGGGCACTGCTGGAGCACACCTTGCTTCAGGGCAATGCCATGGTCAAAGCAGAAGAAAAGCCCTTTGAACTGACCGTCCTTGCTGAAGCAGCCCTGTGAGTTCAGTGTCCAGGTGGAAATCAGTAAGCAGCAGTGCCCATACAGGGACAATATGGCTACATCAATGGCACGGACAGAGGAATCAAGGACTCCCTCAGCTAGGTTGCAGGTGACACCAAGCTGAGTGGTGCAGCTGATACACTGAAGGGAAGGGATGTCATCCAGAGGGACCCTGACAGGCTGGAGGAGTGGGCCCATGTGAAGTTCATGAAGTTCAGTAAGGCCAGTGCAAGGGTCAGGGCAATCCCTAGTCCCAGCACAGACTGGGGGATGGACAGATGGATGGATGGAGAGCAGCCCTGCAGAGAAGGACTTGGAGACGTTGGTGGGTGACAAATTGGACATGAGCTTTGAACTTCCAGCCCAGAAAGTCAACCATACCCTGGACTGCATTAAAAGCAGCGTGCCCAGCAGGTCCAGGGAGATGATTCTGCCCCTCTGCTCTCCCGAGACCCCACCTGGACCACTGCACCCAGCTCTGGGGTCCCCAGAACAAGAAAGACGTGGTCCTGCCGGAGTGGGTCCAGAGGAGGCCACAAAAATGATCCCAGGGCTGGAACACCTGTCCTGTGCAGAAAGGCTGAGAGAGTTGGGGGTGTTCAGCCCGGAGAAGGCTCCAGGGAGACCTTACTGAGGCATTCTGGAGTATAAAGGGGGCTTATGAGTAAGATGGAGACAGACTTTACCGGGGCCTGCAGTGACAGAACAAGGGGCAAGTTTTAAAGTGGAAGAGGGGAGGTTTAGATTGGACATAAGGAAAAAAGTGGGGTTTTTTTACACTGAGGGTGGCAAGGCCCTGGCACAGGTTGCCCAGAGAAGCTATGGCTGCCCCCTCCCTGGAAGGGTTCACAGCCATGGGGCTTTGGGCAACCTGGGCTAGTGGAAGGTGTCCCTGCTTGTGTAGGGGGGTTGGACTAGGTGACCTCTGAAGGTCAGACCACTCTGTGAGTCTGAGACTTACTGAGCAGCACAATAACTCTGCTCCTCACACCTGGCTCCCTTTTCTCATGAGGGAAGAGCAGTCACTGCAACCATTTGTAGCAGCCCGGCTCTGGCTTTCATGCAAGACCCTGCTCTTCTCTCCAAAGGGTAACACATCTGCCAGGCACAGGGCTTCAGGGCTCTCCTCTGCTTTCTGCTTCAAAGGGACTGTAGTGCCCACAGCAGAGGCCAAAAACCCTGAGCTAGAAAAACTTTCCTCACCCTTTCCTCTAGGTGGGGCTTCAAAGTTGCCTAAAAAAGTCTCCCTGCTCCCGTCACAGTGCTGACTATGAGCACTTGTGTCCTCTCCTGTGCCTGGGTTCATGGCCACCATCTCCCCACCTTTTCCCTTCAAAATCTTCTAGGCACAGGGTTTGCTCCAACCCAGAGCCAGCTTGATCCCAAGGCCCAGCCAGGGCTTGGTCCTTCAGACAAGCACATCAGAAGTCCAGACCTTGGGATCAAGCAGCTTCTCCATCACGCAGTAAACTGGGACAACTAAAACCTAATCCTCCCCTAACCACTCCCAGTACATGTAACCCTGTATGAAGGTCCAGCAGGTCCAGGGCTGGCATCCCTGTGCTGGCAGCTGAACAAGGAATCAAGATCATTCACATGCACTGTACACTCTGATCAGCTCTTCCAGTTGTGCAAGGTTAGTAATCATTACTGCTGCTCTACTCTAAGTTAGAAGCATGCCTCTTGAGCGCTCACAGTGCCAGGGTAACCACCCTTGGAAAGCACCAGCAAGGGGAAAGAGCTCAGCGCCGCAACCTCATTCTAGCTAGAAGAATGGCAGCGTACTACAGAGATCAAATCTAAAGCACGTTGAGAGGTACCGAGTTTAAGCACTTTCAGATTAGGATTTCAAGTCCTAGGCACCACACACGCTTCTGTGCAACACTCATGCATCTTTCACTCGAAGGCACTGGGATTTCCACCTCTCTACTTGGATGGGAACACATCCCAAAGCTTCCTTGTTATGATCACTGGTAGGGACTCACAGCTCAGTCTTAGTAAAAAGGGGTAATTAAGGGATTTACAGATGCTGCAGCAAGCTGGGAGCAAAGGAGGACAGGGCATCATCACAGGGGCACCCCAAGAGGTGCTTCTCAGCCCCACAGAGATGAAAGCAGCCCATTCCCCCCAGCTTTCAGGGTCCCCAAGAGCAGCAAGAGGAGATGAGGAAACAGACCTCCAGCTCTCACCAACACAAAACCTCTCTGCTTTGCATTTCCAGAAGATGCAATTGCTTCCATCCCTGGATGAGCAAGTTCAATGACATAATTAATTGGCACTGGTTGGAGAAGGAACATGAGCTGAGCAACAGGGCTTTGGCACAAGACACGTTTGCCATGACAGCCGGAGGGGGGTAGAACTGCTCCGCAGCAGCTGGTTGACTATAAATTTAGAGTGATCATTACTAAGGAAACTTAAGACCTTTCCCCCCTTACTGGTGAAGCAATCTACCTATAAAGCTGAAAGAGAGGAGCTCAAGCAATGCAGCACTAACTGCTCTCAAAGCCCTCACCCAGTTTGTCTGTGGATGTGATAATATCAGCTGGAAGGGAGGAGTCCAGATCTGCATCCAAGATGCCCAGTGGGTCGAGTTGTGCTACATGATGCCCTCGAATCTATGAAATGGGCCAGGAATGGAAAGGAGAACAGGTACCAAGAGAGAGGGGAAAGGGAGAGAAACAAAAGAGGGGAGGGGTAAAAAAGTTAAATTACATTAGAATTAATTTGCAGTGTAATTCTCACCGACGTTTGGAGAAACAGTTACTGGCGCATCATCAAAATTTACACAACTAATGCCGAGAGGATCAAGCTTTGCAATGTGATGACCCCTGACCTGGAAGCAATAACACAAATTAGTCATTAAAACAAGTTAATTGAAGAGACATTCCTTAAAGAAAAAAAAAAATAAAGTCATGCACAGTTTCCCACTTTACATTTTCTGCAGAGCCACCCCAGTTTCTGGCTGCAGCCTGGAGAAGTTGGTTTTACTTTCAACTACAGCACGTAGGTGTGAGTGCCACCAGCTACAGGGATTGCTCTGCTCTGCCCCAAGACAGGCTTTGGTGGGGCAAGGCCAGCTCCTTCACAGCAGAGCCCTTCCAGAATTGAGGTCCAAGGGTCTCCCACTGCTTTCCCTGTGTCCAACCCGAGAACCTCCCCTCTATGGACACAGTAACTCCACACCGGTGGTTTCCTCCAAAGCATCATAGAAAATGAAGAGGCAGTTTCCCAGATTTCAGCAGATCTAGGTACTCTCTTGCCAACGTGGCAGAGGAAACAAACACTTCCACCAGCAGCAGGAGTTCCTGAAAGGCAGAGGAATGTGTCTGAGGAATAGCTGCCTGTCTGTGCTACTGGAGGTCAGCAGCTCACAGCATCCTTCGAAGAGAGGAACCTGCAACAGGACCTGGGTCACTCATGTTGCTCTGCTGGGAAAGGGCAGGTGTGGAAATACCAAAGAGCTTTGGCACCAAGAGAGCCTTGATGGCTCCTGGTGGTGGCAGTCAGGCCAGGAATCACCACGCTGGGTTTGATCCACTTCAGGAGCCACAGAGAGTAACGAGAGGTAATGAGGAGTTTTGATTTTCACAGGAGATACCCACGGATGGACCCCAGCACATCTTGATGGGCAAACTCAGTTCACCTCAGTGGCCAGCACCCTCCAATTGACAAGTCACAGTCTATTTCTTGACAGCTGCTGCTCTTGAAGCTTCAGGCTCAGCTGGGAGCAGGACAGGAAACACTCCTGCCATGGTACAAGGTGGAATGCCTTCTTTACATTGCGAAAATTATATTCCCAGCCATCGACTAGAAAAAGCACTCATATATGAGGGGATTACTAAACCTCTTGTACAAACCAGACATACTGATCTGACCTTATTTACCAGAAAGGAATTCCTATTCAGAGTATCCCAAGGGGATTTCAGGAAAGGATTTTTTGTGGTTTTACCAGGCAAAGAGCCTGAAATCAGCAACCAATGTTAAGGCAAATTGCTAAGAAAGCACCAATCCCCCCCATGCTCTCTGCAGGGCCAGATGACCATGTGCCCCTGAGCACTGGTGGCCACATGGAAAGCGCTTCTTTGGGCCAGCTTTGTCTGGGAACTATTTGCTTGTCCAGCTTGCAACAAAGCACGGGGGCTAGCCCATCATTTCAGCAGAACACAAGCTCACCACACTGCTCCCCACGGCCAGGGTGCTCTCACCAGGACCAGGCAATCAGCCAGTGGCTTTGAGGTCAACTCGGCAGCTTGCAAGTACACAGCAAATCCTCAAATCGGTGTTGGGGCAAGAAGAAGGTCTTTTCCCCCGTTGGAGTCATGCTGCTTGTTATTCTCCACATGCAACACAAGCCAAAACAAGAAGCCTGCAACCCAAAGCAAGACCACAGCAGATATTTGCAGGAAGCATCATGCTGGCAGGCCCTAACCCTGACAGGGGACTTCAACCACCTGGACATCCACTGGCAAAGCAGCACAGTGAGCTGCAAGTAGTCAGGAAATTACTGAAGTGTGCTGAGGACAACTTCCTAGTAGAGATGATGGAGAAGCACTGCTGGACCTGCTGCTCACTAATTCAGAAGAACTTATCAGAGGGGTCAAGACTGGAGGCAGCCTGGGCTAGAGCAAACACATCCTGGTGGAATTCTCAGTCGAGGTAAGGATAAAAAGTAGAGGCTGGACCCTAAACCTCAGAAAGGCAAACTTTCAGCTGTTTAGGGCACTAGTGCATGGTACCTCTTGGGAAACTGCCCTTGGAGGAAAAGGAGTGAACAAAAGCTGAGAGATATTTACCTTTTTCTTAGGGTGTGAAAGCTCTCAGTCCCGACATGCAAGGAGTCAGGCAGGGGAGGCGGGAGGCCAGCTTGGCTAAGCCAAGACCTCTTAGCCAAACTGAAACACAGAAAGAGGCAGGGACACACATCCTGGGGAGATTATAGGGATTCGGCCCAAGAGTGCAGGGCAGGGATCAGGAAAGCCAGGGCACAGCTGGAGCTGAACTTGGCTACAATGTGAAAAATAACAAGAAGGGTTTCTTAAGGTACATGGCACAAGAAAGTAAGATGAAAGAAGAAACTGTACTCCCCCAACAAGCAAAACAGGAGACCTGGCTACAACTGAAATGGAGAAGGCTGAGGTACTTAACTTTCTTCCCTCGGTCTTCACTGGCAAGTGCACTAGCAGAGAATTCACAGAATCCAAAGCCAGGGACTGGGACCATGAAGTATCACCCACTGCAGAAGATCAGGGTCAAGACTATCCAAGGAACCTGAAGGTGCACAAGTTCATGGCACTTGGAGGCACACATCTGCAGGTCCTGAGGGAACTTTCAGATGAAGCAGCTCAGCCACTACACATAATATTCAAAAAGTCGTGGCAGACTGGTGGGAAGTTCCCAGTGACTGGAAAAGGGGAAACAACCCCCATTTTTAAAAAGGGAAAAAAGGAAGACCTGGGAAACTACAGGTCAGTCCGTCTCACCTCTGTGCCCAGCAAGATCATGGTGATCCCTCATGGAAACTCTGCTGAGGCAAATGAAAACCAGAGGGGATTGGTAACAGCCAACACAGGTTCACTAAGGCCAAACCGTGCCTGACAAACTTGGTGGCCTTCTACAACAGGGTTACAGTGTTGGTGGGTAAGGGAAGAGCAACTGACATCATCTACCTGGACTTGTGCAAAGCGTTTGACACTGTCCCGCACAACATCCTTGTCTCTAAACTGGAGACACATGGATTTGACATATGGACCACTTTGTGGAGAAGGAATTGGCTCAGTGGTCACACTCAAAAGAGTCATGGTCAATGGCTCAATATGCAAGAGGAGAGCAGTGGTGAGTGGTGTCCTCAGCAGTCAGTGCTGTTTAATATCTCTGTCAGGGACATGGACACCTTCACCCTCAGCAAGTCTGCAGATGACACTGAGCCAAGTGGGGTGGTTGATACTCCAGAGGGAAGGGATGGCATCCAGAGGGACCCTGACAGGCTGGAGAAGTGAGTGCATGCACACCTCATGAAGTTCAAAAAGGCCAAGTGTAATGTCCTGCACCTGGGCTGGGGCAATCCCAAACATGGATACAGGCTGGGGGATGACTGGATCGAGAGCAGAGAAGGACTTGAGGGTAGTAGTGGATGAAAAACTGTCTATGAGTCAACACCGTGCACTCACAGCCCAGAAAGTCAACCATACCCTGGACTGCATCAAAAGCAGCGTGCCCAGCAGGTCCAGGGAGATGATTCTGCCCCTCTGCTCTCCCGAGACCCCACCTGGACCACTGCACCCAGCTCTGGGGTCCCCAGAACAAGAAAGACGTGGTCCTGCTGGAGTGGGTCCAGAGGAGGCCACAAAAATGATCCCAGGGCTGGAACACCTGTCCTGTACAGAAAGGCTGAGAGAGTTGGGGGTGTTCAGCCCGGAGAAGGCTCCAGGGAGACCTTATCACAGCCTTTCAGTACTTAAAGGAGCTTAGAAGAAAGATGGGGACAAACTTTTAAGTAGGGCCTGTAGCGATAGGACAAGGGGTAATGGTTTTAAACTACCCATCAGGGCCTCCTCCTGCCTTCCTACTCTTTCATCTTCCACACACTGTGCTCAGCTTCCCCCACTGGATACCCCACTGCAGCCACAGCCCTACAGCAACACCAGGGTAGGAAGGGAGGTGATATCTCACTGCATATAGCTTAGAAAAATACATCCAAGAGCAATCACCTCCCAGCATTGCCATTCAGAGACTGAGGAAATGATGGGAATGAAGAAGAGCTCATGGATTTTGCGTTCAAATCACTGACTTAAGAGCTGCTGCCTCCAATTACACCAGTCACAGCTTGTTTGAACTTGGCATCTGCCTGCTTGTTCCCCCAGGGAGAGCTGCACGGCCTCTAGAAATCACCAGGATCCACCTGAACTGGAGAGCTGGCAGGATGGTCACCTCCCATGAAATCAGCCACGATGGAAGATGCAAGTCCTCACAAACATGTCCCAGCTTTCCCTTCATAGAGAAAAGCCGGGTGGTGCCCAGCGTTGACGTCAGGACCTCCACTGCAGAGGTGTGCAGGGCGGGGGCACTTTCTTCAAGCCAGAGAGCAGGTCCAAGGCTGGGCAGACCTTTGGACTCACCCAGTGCTGCAGTTCTCTCCTTAACCTGTGACCTCGTACATTGGATTTTCCCCATACCTGAGCAGGAACACAACCTGCAGCAGGCACTTCTTTGCAGGAACAGGTGACACGACCATGGTCACACCTCCACAGCACCTGGGTCTGTTACCTTCTCACCACAACCCCCACAAGAGCCCCCACAGCTGACAAACCAGGGTGCAACCAAAGGTGAAAGGATGACACAGATGTACAAACACATTTAAATGTTCTCTCAAGTTAAAATATTGGTTGGTCACCCCCTGCTTGAAACTTGTTTCTCCTGGAAGGCTGACTTTGGTCTGATTTTCAACCCAGCAGCACCCTTGCAGGTTGCAAATCACAAGGAAATGTTTCCTGTGCTTTTATTTTCAGGATTTCAGAAATTCTCTCAGCAACGTGGGGGAAGCAGGATGAGCATCCCTCACCGCTGCTGAGCACAGCAAGAGCCCACAGCACAGGAGCATCATTCCAGAAGCCAGCAAACCACCCTGTGCAGAGAAGACCTCCCCCTCCCTGCCACTGTTTGGGTGAGAATAGCTTTAATCTTCCTTTGTCCAGCAAAGCATCAGCTGAGCTTCTGCCCCAACAGATCAGCAACTCCTGTTACAAACCAGGCAGCCCAGCACACATCCTGCACACCCTCCATGCGAAACACATGCATCAACTGCACAAAGTCCAGCCCGCCTCGGCCACCGCATGCCCCTCTACTGAAGCCATGCCCCCCCAGGCGCAAAGCCCATCTCCTTACCTGATACGCCCTGATGAGAGATTGTACTGCAAGATGGTCCTCCACCAGTTTATCTACGTTGGGCTGTGCTTGAACCAGGAACTGGGCTTGGGGCAGCGTGGAAAGGCTGGTACTCAGTGGAGGGGGGCTTTGGTAAGCGGTGCCTGGAGCAGCTCCAGCATTGGCGTTGCGGAAGAAGATGTCCCATGACTAGGGAAAGAGGAGAGGTGACAGGGTCATTACCCACGACCCAAATATCTCCTCACTCAAGGTTACTGGCGTCCCAACTCAATTATTGCCACAGCAGGGAGTAAAATCCCTGTGGGTAGAGCTGACTCTTCCCCTGCACCCCAGCTCCATGTAGCTGCTTCCGAAAGCACCTCCCTGCCTTGGACAGGAGAGCACTAAAGCTCTCCCACTATTCCAGTTATGCCATTATCCTACTTCCCATCCATCTGGATTGTTTCTTTTGGCATGAGACCATCCCCAGAGTGCTCCCTCCCTCAGCAGCAGTGCTTAGGACAGGAACAGATGACACCACTCGCCCAGATTGGCTCTTGAAGCCACTACTCTGCACAATGAGCCCCAACCTGGTCTTCAGGAGCTTGTTTCCTTCTCTCCAGGGCAGGAGACTGCCCTCTAAATACCCACAATACTTCCTCAAAAATACTTTTGCCCTGTAATCAAATACAGCTCTTTCTCTTTTCAGTCGTCTAAATGTCCCGAGACCCAAATCCCATCATAAGCCGTGTTGTCCAGCCCTCAACCAACAACAGCTTTTTTCTTCTTCTGTCCCCTCTAATTTTTCCCAACCCTTTTGGTGACACCAATGCCAGCACTATGTGGAAACTCCCATGCCAGTTCTCCGTGCCCTCAGCAAAGCAGGTATCACCTCTGCTCCTGTTCCCCTCAGCAGATGGGTGCTTTTAGGTGTTAGGAAAACAAAGCAAAACACCCAAAAAACGCTGACAGACTTGGTGTAACTTTGTGGTTACAGCACTGCTGGAAGAGCCCAGAGGCATCCCAGGCCAAACCTAAGTTAATCTGTCTACTTGGAGAAGCAGTAATGGACCTGCAGAAGGGGAGCGACCAGCAGAGCAAAGTTCAAGCCACGTCCTCCTGGCACACTCTTGCCCTTGCCCTCGTGCTACGGAGCAATAGCAGATGACAGAGACAAGGTGGAGGCGTCTGCGCTCCTGCACGTACCGGAGACACCAGCTAGAGCAAACAAATCCCATCAGATTTGCACTCTGGTTTCAGCCAAGGTTTCAGCCCAAGGCTCTCTCCACTAACTGGGAGCAAAAGCCCAGCGCTCAGCGCCCTGCACGCCTCATGTCTGCAGAGAGCAGCAAACCCAACCTTGGTGATGCAGAGATGGGCAAAGTGCTGCCCAGCCAACCCCAGCGTGTTTAAACCAAGTTGAAAAGAGCCATAAGAGCAGCTCCAGGGGTGGTTTGGGGAAGAAAAAGCAGCTTCTGCACCCTGGTAGCAGGGTGGAGAGGACTGAAAACCAGACTTTTGCTGGAGGAGCACCAGCTCTCCCCCTTCCCTGTAGCTCCTCCAGCTGCAGAGCCCATCACATGCCCCAGGAAGCTATTTCCAGCCCTGATTTACCCAGACGCCCCATCATATGGCTGCACAAGGTGATTAAATTTAGAAATAGGTCACACTGAAGGAACGTAAATAAAATCTGGAACAATTTGGCACCGTAACTGATAAACAATAGCTCCCCCAAAGAAAAAAAGAAAATTAAAAAAAAGACCAAAGCCAGAAAATGTTTGACCCCATTCTGATTGCTGTCTGCTAAATGAAATTTCAGTAGGAAAAAAAGGAGAGCTGCTTTTTATATGATCCTTACTCCTGGGCACTGGTGAGAGCAGCCCAAGCCCCTACCCTTCCCCAGACTCACAGAGATCATGGGTGCCCCAGAAGCCAACAGCTCCTGAGAGCAGGAGGACCGAGCACCCTGGGATGTGGAGGAATCTGGCTGGCAGCTTTGCTCAGTGGTTTAAGGTTGTTTAATGTACTGGAAAATAAAGGCAGGCAAGAGAAAGGGAGCATCTACTAGCCCAGGGAGGGGGCTGTCAGCAGTGCTGGGGGGACAGGAACAGAGCCAGGAGGCAGCAGTGCTGCCTTTATGACTTCCTCCCTTCTGACATTCAACAATATTAACCTCTTGGAGATGCAATTTGCTTCTGTTCTGAAAGAAGTAGTTCATTTTAAGCTCTCTAAACAAGGTGCAGCACCGGCTTGGTCAGCTCAGGCACCTTCGCTAAATGCTTTATTGCCCAACATAATTAGAGAGTATTTCAGACTGCCTGACTGCAGGCTTTGCCCCTGATAAGCACTACAAAAACATCAGCTTTCAAGTTGTTGATGTAGTTTGGAATACAAGAATATTCAAGGGCCACTCCAGGGTTTCTGGTGACCCAGGTAGGTGGCCCTGGAGCTCACATATCCCGTGGGAGAGTCTGACAGGGCCCCATCAGCGTCATCCTGCATTATCACAGGAAAGACTTCACCTTAATCCAGCACTCACCAAAGGTAACAGCAGTAATAAAGCTCATTGGGTTATTTCCCTCTGACCCTCTCCATGCCCAGAGCAAGTCCTACAAGCACTCCTCCAGCTCTTATAGGCTGCAAGTATGTGTGTGTATATATATATATATATATATATAGGGTATAAGATATATAACAGGGTATAAAATAAATAAATATATATATATATATATATATATATATATATATATATTAGATAAAAGAGGTCAGCTTCACTCATTTTTACCAAGAGGGCTCAAAGCCAGTATGTCCCTGCTCCCAAGTGCGTAGGCAGCCCTCAGCTCTGGGCGCACTAAATACCACCAACCCCAGGTCCCTGCTGGGATGGTCCCATGGCCACGTGTCCCACCACAGCCACAGCACAAGGCGTCAGCCCGGCGCAGCCTTCCCAGCACTCCTCTCTGCCTGCAAAGTGAGACAGGAGAGGCAGCTGACTGCAGCAAGCCTGGATAGGCCAGGCTTTAGAGGGGTTTCGAGTTCAAGTCTGAGAGCAGAGCTCACCACAGGCTTCTCTGTTGACAACAGCCCCAAAACCAGCTCACGCAGTGAAACCAGCATCTTTCACTTCGTTTATCTGACTGGGTTGCTGGAGAAGGGTGTGGGCTCAGACTGCTACATCGCAGCCTCTGCCACAAAGCCAGCTCAGGTCAGGAATGCATGGCGAGGAGAGAGGGGTGACATCTTCCACCTGCTGCAGGGCACCTCAAACTGAACTGGGGCAGCTCCAGGCTGGGCAGTGCACAAAGGATACATGGCCTCTACCTCCAGCTCAGACTGCATCCCTGCTGCTTCTTCTGCCACAGACGCCAGGGTACAGAAAGCACCAGCCACACCTGCTCCGCATGGCTGGCAGGCCAGGCATCACCTCCTGTGTTAGCAGGGAGAAGATGAGGAACATTCAGGGATTAAAGCTGGAAAAGGAGGTGCCTGAACAAAATTTACAGCAGGCAACCTTTGCTGAGAGTAAGGGGCCAAGCAGCGATCGATGGGTTCGTGCTCTGCACGTTGCCTTGTCTCTTATCAACATAAACAAGGCCCTTTGGTTCTCCAGGGCGCTCGCTTTTGAAGATGGGGGTTGAAACCCAAACATTTCAAACTCTCAAGCAAGATGACTACAAAATTCAGCCTGGGCCCCTGTTTGTGAGCATGACTGCAAAGGACACAGCAGAAGCACCTGCCAGGTCTCTGGCCTCGCTGCAGACCGCAGGTTCCTGCCGTAGGGCTGGCGAAGCTGGGTTACACAGCATGGCCTACACACATTGTGGTCACAAAACCACTTCAATATAAAAATCAAAACGCCGGCATATTAAGAAATCCACGTTAAAGACTGATGTACGTACATATGGGGAGAGCTGCATCCCTTCAGCAGTTCAACCCAAACACAGGGGATGCTCTTTAGGAAGACTGAGCTCGTCGCAGAGCTCTCGGCCACCTGCCCTGCAGGCAGTGAGTCACTTCAGGTGCTGGGGAGATGGCAGGGGTTGTGTCCAGCACCGCTGGCAGCCAGCATCATACCCAAGTGGCGAAGAGGAGGCATGAGGAGGGTGTCCCTGAGCCCTCAGGACACGGTCCCAGGAGCAAGCCTTACCCTGTGGCAGCCCACCAGCAGCGACCTCCACATCCTCAACTCCTCTTTCCCTAGCTCTACTCCTGCTCATCAGACTCAGAAAGTGGAGTTCAGCTGAAGAACTACATGCAGAAAAAAGTCTAAAATAGTTTTAAAAAAAAAAAAATAAATCTTCCCTACTCTAATCAAGCAATTAAGTATATTCTGCAGCTTATACCACCAGTGTCTGCACAAAGGAAGTGAATTCATTTTGCTCAGCTGGGACAGTTGTGCTGGCTGGAAGGCTCCTGGGTGACAACAGCAAAGTTGTCTCCTGGCAGAAGATCTCACACTCACCAGCACAAAGCAGCATGGCAATGCGCAGCCTGTCTCTGCTCTGTGCAGGGAACTGATAAGCCACAGCCAGGTCTGTGTGATATCCTGGCTTTTTTTGGGAACTCCACCCTCAGATCTGACCCTGTGTCTAACGGGATGGAGGCCAACACTTATCAGGGACAGGGCTGACACCATCCACTGCTGCTGCAGCGTCATGCCAGAGGGGACACAGGCTGGCAGAGACTGCTCGCAAGACAAGACAAGGGACGGCCACAATCCCGATCCTACCACAGCAGCTCAGCGTCCCCATTGAGGATGGGGTGAGCTACAAAAAAGTGCAGAGAGAAGACAGGGGCAAAGCTAGGAGCTGGGAATGGATCTTGGTGAGCCCACCAGAATGAGGCGGGATCCATCCAGAAGAGACAAGTGAACAGCAACAGCAGAAGCCACAGCAAGGCCAAGTGCATCAGAGAGCAACAGCAAAGGCTGCACCAAACCTCAGGTATCAACCGCACCAGAAGTTCTGGGACATGGAGCTGGATTTTGCAGGATCACAGCATGATTCAGGTTGGAAGGGACTTTCAAAAACCATCTAGTTCAACCCCCCTGGTCCAACCCCCTTTCTGCCGAGCTGGACACTAGCTCGATTTTGTTTAAAAAGCAGTTCCTACGACTTGCTTTTGACACTACCAGTGTCAGGTTCACTTCCTGGTAATGACAAGACCCCGCTTCATTTTCATGCTGCTTCTCCTACTGCCAGAAACCATTCCCAGTCCCACTGGAGGCAAAATCTTGTACCAACTCCTGCACTACTCTCTAAGCACTTAGAAGTGATTTAAAAGAGACACTGATTTCCAAGGGTGACTAATGCACATTTGCAATTCTTCGCCATAAACACAGGACTGGGGGCCTGGGGAGGTGGGGGGAGCTCCACTCTTGTAGGTGCTCAAAACTTGACCACACAAGGCCCTGAGTGACCTGGTCTAGCCATGAAGCTGGATGTTACCTCCAAGATGGCCACGCTAAAGCAGAGGCTCCAGAGGCTCCTTCCAATCCTAATTTCTCCCCCAATTTCTTCAACTGAAAGTGCATGAGGACTCCCGTACAGCACTACATTCGCTGCCTACCTGCTAGCAAGCTGATGAAACTACAAGGACTACATTAAAGAGGAGACAAGAGCAGAAGAGATCCAGAGGTCTGGCCTCAGGACCCAAATACACCTCCCAGCCAACTGCCCCTGTTAATCTCAATTTACTTTCACATCTGCTCAGAGCAACATTCAAGCCTGAGCAGGGTCTGTAGATTAAAAAGCCAGTATCAAACCACGAAGCCTCTTTACCAAAGACACAATTGTGCCTGCCATTGGGACACGCGTGGTGTAACCCTCACTTGTTTTTAAATTATATTACAGCATTTAGATTCATGGCTTTTAATTCCATATCCCACCTCTGACGGACTCGGTTGCACCACACGTATGTGCGCTTGGGGAGCTTTCAAGTCACTATCTGACAAAGGGCACAATCCAAATCAATACACTTTGTGTTTTCTGAGTCTGTATTGCTTGGCTCAGCCATCCATTTGCCTCAAAAGCAGCATAAAGTCAACATTGTTTGTGAAAATCCAGCTTTGAGCCTACCTTAATACCTTTACAGCACGCTACAGGCTCTGCATTTTGGATGCATGGGACCGATGCCATCGAAAATACACTCAACACTGATGCAGGTGTCGGGGCATGAGATTCCTTACTCACCCTTGACTGCTCATTTAACCATCACAGTTTGCAGACTGCTCACGTGCTACTGAGTAAAGAAAATCCCTGCTCTACATCAGGACATGTACAATACTGTCTTAAAAATCCCCTGGGTAATGCTGAGATTTAGTCACTACAGGAACATTTTCCTTGTGAAACACTGGGGTTGGGAAGAAATGCAGTCAGGTTTCAGAAAACCTCTTCCCAGCTGAGCCCTCACCTGATGGACTCGACACTAAAGCTGGCCTTCTCCTGACTGGAGGAGCTTCAGTAATTCAGATCCAAACAGACCTCTGCACATACTGCCCACAGCCAGGTTGGTTTCCCAGTTTTAAGTTAGGGAGTAGCTGGTGGAAATCCCTCTGGCCACCAGACCCAGTTCCCTTCCCCAGGCTGCAGATCAGCGATCTGGCTTTATGCACACAAGCTCAGAGTCAAGCTTAGCTACAGCTCCAACATATAATACCACCCATGCCTGAAGCAAAAAGGAAACCAGTCAAGATGTAGAAAATACCCTCTCCACCCCCATCCTCCACTCCAGAATAAATCCTCTTGATGAGCCATCAGAGCTGGAAAAAATGAAGCATCAGGAGTTGGTTAAAGGTGGATTTCCAGAAGGCATTCTTTGTATCCACTGTGATCCAGGATGCTGCCTGTGTCCCACAAGCCCACTGCATTCCCTCTTGAACAGAGAAGCTCCTCTTGGCTCTTGCTCAAGGAATTGCTGATGTTTCTTTCGGGCAAAACAAGGCAGAAGGATCATCCACAACCAGCCAGCCCCTCTGGCTGAATTCAATCCTCCTTCAGACGTGTGCACTTACCTGAACCCACTGCTCAGACACACAGAGAGAGAAGCAAAGGCTCCTGGCAAGGTTGCCCCTTACCTTATGTACACTTTTTGGATTTTCCAGCCAAGCATAATACATTTCCTCCACGTAGTTTGAACTAGTCCCGCTCAAAAAAGGCTCGGCAGCCACCGGTGCGCTGTAGCACCTGATCTGTTGAAACGTCCTGGGTGCTGCCAGCCTGTGTTGAGAAATTGTCTTTACAGTCTGTGAGGCCGTCAACGGCCTCAGCTTTGCTGCACAAGTCCTTAACTTAAGCATGTTTGTCCTGTTGCCTCCACACAAGTTCCTATTGGGAGAGAAGGGAAAAGTGGGTTAAAAATTACTGCAGGAGAGCACAGAGCAGAGACTACCCCTGCTCCACCCACCCCCGTCAGCCCCAAGAATGGAGAACTGAATTTAAGATCTGGTTTTAAATCAGATTAATCCATCCACTTCGTCCTGAAGCCAAGTCCCCAATGACTGGGAAACTATTTTTGCTCAAGATGCTCAACACGGCCAGGTCTACCTCCCCCATCCCTGCTCCATGGCATCATCATCTTCCCCGACACAACAGTGAAAAGTAGATTTGCTTAGTGGGGCTCCCAACACCAGCCTCAAATGAGCTGCTGCACATCAAAAGCACCCGCACCTTTTTATATCTGCACCGTACAAAATAAGGCAGCTTGATGGTGAAACACAGCGTGGATTCATGGTATAAAGTATCAGGTTCCCCCAGCGCTTTCCTCTTTAGTTCTTAGGCAACGACATCTACAACTTTTCCAATAATAAATCCATAAAGTATTCATTGATTTCTTTTGATTTTTTAATTCTTCCTCTGGGAATCCTCTTTCTGTTTGTTTTAAACAGGAAAATCCTCTCTATGAAACTCAGATTCCAGCAGGAGTTGGATGCTTTGGCCCTTCAATGTCCTGTTTGCAGGGACATTGTACAAGTTTAAAGAAAAGTACTTTAAAGCATCATACCCAGAAGGGTGCATAAAAAAAATTGTTACCAGATGGATTTTAACACTGAACATCAGGTTTTTCTTCACACGGAACTGATCAAGTCTAGCAGGGTACACTCCTCCAGGTCTGCGCAAGCCACAGAACTACTCTCATCATGCTGACCCAACATGGAAGCCTTTTCCATCACTCTCCCAGGTGGAGGATCTTGGACTCAATTTTTGCTGTGTTACTCACACCACGGCCACTCTACTTGGCCAAGTCACCTGTTTGGGTTACAGGCACCAGGATAAAGCTGGGAAGAAACCATCTATGGGAAAGACCCCTCACAAAGTAGAAGTATGGTGGTGTAAAGCACTTGGCATGTTGACTCCAGGACAGACCACTTCCTCAAATCCAAGAAGGCCAACACGGTGGAAGGACCCAGAAAGGGGCTCTCCCCTGCCCAGAAAACCCAGAAGAGCAACCCAGAGCCAGCGTGGGACCTCTCAAAGGTCCACCAGCAATGTTCACCTTGCAGCTCATGGTGGGGTGCAGCCCCACATGGACAGGGAGGCCTGGGGTTAACCACGCTCCTTGTCACACACCCCCATCCATCAGCTGCAGCCCAAGGGAAAGCGCTGGAGCAAGATCATCTCAGGGAGAGAGCCAGCTCCTCTTGGAGCTGCCCTTTCCACCCAGCTCCTCCCGCAAAAGGCAGGACCCAAGGCTGGAGGTGACCCAACTGGCCAGTTTCCATATCCCCAACCAGTTGAATGAGCAGCAGCCCAATGTCAAAGCAGCTATCATGCGTTCACCATATTAAAATGAAGTTTCACAGCAGAGTGGAGGAAAAAAAAATAAACCTTCATTACTGGTGTTTCATCAGCCACGCTTCCAGATTTTCTTTGCTGTTCTGACTACTTGGCACGGCAGCAGCTATACTTCCTGCCTCAAAACACAAGATTTTGGTCCAAAGAGCCCAAAGAAGACCTGGGATCACTCTAACTCAGCCAAAGTGTTTTACAGATTTACCCCAAGGAAAAAGTAAAGACCACTTGGCCTTTCCACCCTGCTTGCTCCCTTCTGCCTGCAGTCAAACCTGGACCATTATCAGGCAAGAAATGGCAGGCAGGAGCGGAAGAGCAAGTGTGGCAGCACAAGATGTTTTCCCAGCTTACCCTCCTCAGATTTAAGCAACGTAACACAGGCAGATATTTTAGAGCCGACTGAATTGGGTGTCGGCGCACAATAATGCACATGGCAGGGAAAAAGCTTTAGGACGAAAGAGTCGCTGGTGTCTCTGGCTTTGGTGTCTGGTTTCGGTGCTGCTCCTCAGCAGCGTCCCGGTGACCTCTCTGGAAAACAGGGGGGTTAATGCCAAGGTTTGACCCAAAATGAGCAGAACCAGATGGTCTTTTGAGGGTCTCACAGAAAGGGTTGGCTTCCTGAGGGCACACAAGCCCATGCCGCACCACAAACCAGGGCAAGCTTGGAGCAGGAATGTTTCCAAGGTAAATCAAAACAGCACACAACGACCAGGATCAAGAACGTAGGAAACCAAACCCAAGATAACCGATACAGGGGTCACGCACGAACACAAAGTTCATGCACAGAGTTACAGCTGAGGAGAGAGTAAGGAGAGGAAGCCCCGGCTTGCTGGCCAGGCCCTCCTGGGCACAGCTGGACCACAGCCCAAATTTCACTGAGAGGTCAAACAACAGGAATACTCGTAACAGATTAACGTCTGGGACAGGTGAGAACGTACCGTTAAACAGATTAAGGTACTAAATTTGACCTCTGGCAGCCGGGATTTGTGACACCTGCCCCTAAAGGCAACTAGCTCGGAACTGGTTGGTTGGGGGGGGG